TCTGCCTCAAATGGTCAGTTTAGAATTCTTGTCACAACAGTATCATCCCTAACCATATATCTAACATGAGTTAGTTAATATATGAACTAGAAGTGTTTAAACAAAGCCATATTTGCAAAAGTTATATTTATGAAGATATCAGTCTGGTGCATAAATTCACTAAAAGTTTGATTGAAATGACTGCTTACATCTGATTTTTGCATAACTTCCTAGCACAGTTATTGTTTACTTTACCAAAGACCTTTAAAATAAAAAAATCATAGCATTTACAAGTTAAATTATCTGTTTTATGACTCAGGGGTAGGCATTTTTCTCTGTTTTTTGCCCATGGGGCCTCACATTTCCTAATTTTTTTCCCCTGTTTCTAGCAATGTGGAATATTTACTACATATTTAGGATAGAACACACTATTGTAAGTTTTTTTGAGGTCTTTTTGTAATTCTAGCTTGTACTTTTTTATGCCGCGGTCACAAAAAAGCACATTTAGGCGTTACGGCTTACTTTTGGGTTATCGACAGGACAAAAACACCCCACCAAAAATATTTAGGAAGTATCAATGAGTTGCAATTACTGCGAAGAGTAAATATAAACACTTCTAAACAATTTAAATTACAAATAGGCATATATTATGAATTTATTTTGAATTCAGGGCTTTAAGTAAACCATGCATACTGTAAACTGTGAATTTATGCTGAGTCATCATAGTTAAGGCCCAGGATTTTCTCAATCTTCATGAAAAATTTATAAAACTTCATATTTGAGTTAAATTCTTTAAAATCTCTGAGATAAACCAGATTTTGTGAAATTCTGTATGTTCTATTTTTTGACCCTATATAGGTTGCAATTCTGTAAATACTGACAATGCAATTTCCCATAGGAACTCCCTTTGCGGCTAAAACTGTGACACTTTTACTATGAAGTTTCGTGAAAAATAATATCCCAGAACGGAAAGTTTATATGCACTACTATTTTATTCAAAGGTCAAAATATAGGGCTGTGCGGCATATTTTCAACATTTATATGCCCTGAACTTCTAAGAGTTTAAACTTATACTAAAATTCTATACTACCCTTACCTCCATTTTTGGACCTCCTAAGAATTAAAATTTAGCCGCTACCATGTTTTTCAATACTGGTTACATTCCCAAGTGATGTCTCTATGAGATGAAACACAGAGATCATCAATGGGAACCAGTACGTTAACAAATTAACATACCTATGAATATTAAATATCTCCCCAAAAGAGGCGTGGTTTGAGAAACAGCTGTATTTACAAAGTGCAACCTATACAAACATTTATTCAAATAGAAAACTCTCTAAAAACACTTTTTCTCACAACTATACTTATTTATCAGAATTATAGCCTTAAAGAAATCACTGCATATACTCTAAGTTTCCTTTTACAGTAAATTTTATATCCCTACCCCTGTTTCAATTTTTTAAAGATTTTGAAAACAAGACTCTAATTATTGCCAGCTTACCCTATGTGCATGTTATCTGACATGAACTGTCCAAAACCTGTTTGACACTATTCTGATAACAAATTGAAAGCATTTTAGAATACTATAAATGTATTGTTTAGTAGTTAAGCATTCCAACATTCAAGATTATACAAAGTATCCAATCCTGCCTGTGTCTCCAGTCCACATCTTACTGTATGCCTATTTGTCAATGAAAGTTCTCAATTTCTGCCTCAAATGGTCAGTTTAGAATTCTTGTCACAACAGTATCATCCCTAACCATATATCTAACATGAGTTAGTTAATATATGAACTAGAAGTGTTTAAACAAAGCCATATTTGCAAAAGTTATATTTATGAAGATATCAGTCTGGTGCATAAATTCACTAAAAGTTTGATTGAAATGACTGCTTACATCTGATTTTTGCATAACTTCCTAGCACAGTTATTGTTTACTTTACCAAAGACCTTTAAAATAAAAAAATCATAGCATTTACAAGTTAAATTATCTGTTTTATGACTCAGGGGTAGGCATTTTTCTCTGTTTTTTGCCCATGGGGCCTCACATTTCCTAATTTTTTTCCCCTGTTTCTAGCAATGTGGAATATTTACTACATATTTAGGATAGAACACACTATTGTAAGTTTTTTTGAGGTCTTTTTGTAATTCTAGCTTGTACTTTTTTATGCCGCGGTCACAAAAAAGCACATTTAGGCGTTACGGCTTACTTTTGGGTTATCGACAGGACAAAAACACCCCACCAAAAATATTTAGGAAGTATCAATGAGTTGCAATTACTGCGAAGAGTAAATATAAACACTTCTAAACAATTTAAATTACAAATAGGCATATATTATGAATTTATTTTGAATTCAGGGCTTTAAGTAAACCATGCATACTGTAAACTGTGAATTTATGCTGAGTCATCATAGTTAAGGCCCAGGATTTTCTCAATCTTCATGAAAAATTTATAAAACTTCATATTTGAGTTAAATTCTTTAAAATCTCTGAGATAAACCAGATTTTGTGAAATTCTGTATGTTCTATTTTTTGACCCTATATAGGTTGCAATTCTGTAAATACTGACAATGCAATTTCCCATAGGAACTCCCTTTGCGGCTAAAACTGTGACACTTTTACTATGAAGTTTCGTGAAAAATAATATCCCAGAACGGAAAGTTTATATGCACTACTATTTTATTCAAAGGTCAAAATATAGGGCTGTGCGGCATATTTTCAACATTTATATGCCCTGAACTTCTAAGAGTTTAAACTTATACTAAAATTCTATACTACCCTTACCTCCATTTTTGGACCTCCTAAGAATTAAAATTTAGCCGCTACCATGTTTTTCAATACTGGTTACATTCCCAAGTGATGTCTCTATGAGATGAAACACAGAGATCATCAATGGGAACCAGTACGTTAACAAATTAACATACCTATGAATATTAAATATCTCCCCAAAAGAGGCGTGGTTTGAGAAACAGCTGTATTTACAAAGTGCAACCTATACAAACATTTATTCAAATAGAAAACTCTCTAAAAACACTTTTTCTCACAACTATACTTATTTATCAGAATTATAGCCTTAAAGAAATCACTGCATATACTCTAAGTTTCCTTTTACAGTAAATTTTATATCCCTACCCCTGTTTCAATTTTTTAAAGATTTTGAAAACAAGACTCTAATTATTGCCAGCTTACCCTATGTGCATGTTATCTGACATGAACTGTCCAAAACCTGTTTGACACTATTCTGATAACAAATTGAAAGCATTTTAGAATACTATAAATGTATTGTTTAGTAGTTAAGCATTCCAACATTCAAGATTATACAAAGTATCCAATCCTGCCTGTGTCTCCAGTCCACATCTTACTGTATGCCTATTTGTCAATGAAAGTTCTCAATTTCTGCCTCAAATGGTCAGTTTAGAATTCTTGTCACAACAGTATCATCCCTAACCATATATCTAACATGAGTTAGTTAATATATGAACTAGAAGTGTTTAAACAAAGCCATATTTGCAAAAGTTATATTTATGAAGATATCAGTCTGGTGCATAAATTCACTAAAAGTTTGATTGAAATGACTGCTTACATCTGATTTTTGCATAACTTCCTAGCACAGTTATTGTTTACTTTACCAAAGACCTTTAAAATAAAAAAATCATAGCATTTACAAGTTAAATTATCTGTTTTATGACTCAGGGGTAGGCATTTTTCTCTGTTTTTTGCCCATGGGGCCTCACATTTCCTAATTTTTTTCCCCTGTTTCTAGCAATGTGGAATATTTACTACATATTTAGGATAGAACACACTATTGTAAGTTTTTTTGAGGTCTTTTTGTAATTCTAGCTTGTACTTTTTTATGCCGCGGTCACAAAAAAGCACATTTAGGCGTTACGGCTTACTTTTGGGTTATCGACAGGACAAAAACACCCCACCAAAAATATTTAGGAAGTATCAATGAGTTGCAATTACTGCGAAGAGTAAATATAAACACTTCTAAACAATTTAAATTACAAATAGGCATATATTATGAATTTATTTTGAATTCAGGGCTTTAAGTAAACCATGCATACTGTAAACTGTGAATTTATGCTGAGTCATCATAGTTAAGGCCCAGGATTTTCTCAATCTTCATGAAAAATTTATAAAACTTCATATTTGAGTTAAATTCTTTAAAATCTCTGAGATAAACCAGATTTTGTGAAATTCTGTATGTTCTATTTTTTGACCCTATATAGGTTGCAATTCTGTAAATACTGACAATGCAATTTCCCATAGGAACTCCCTTTGCGGCTAAAACTGTGACACTTTTACTATGAAGTTTCGTGAAAAATAATATCCCAGAACGGAAAGTTTATATGCACTACTATTTTATTCAAAGGTCAAAATATAGGGCTGTGCGGCATATTTTCAACATTTATATGCCCTGAACTTCTAAGAGTTTAAACTTATACTAAAATTCTATACTACCCTTACCTCCATTTTTGGACCTCCTAAGAATTAAAATTTAGCCGCTACCATGTTTTTCAATACTGGTTACATTCCCAAGTGATGTCTCTATGAGATGAAACACAGAGATCATCAATGGGAACCAGTACGTTAACAAATTAACATACCTATGAATATTAAATATCTCCCCAAAAGAGGCGTGGTTTGAGAAACAGCTGTATTTACAAAGTGCAACCTATAAGTGCTATATTTAGTCTACTCATCAACATCCTGTAATTTATGATATACAAGTAGAGTTTTCCACTTGTGCACACATGTGCCTGAGGTCACTGAGAGATAAAGCATTTGGATACTTGTTTAATTGAAAATTAGCATTTCCAAGTAATTCGATTTAAAATGTAATTAAACATTTTCATAAATAAAAAATACTGAACAAATCTTTAAAGTTCAAATTAATATATTGACAAGGCAGGGATGATCGTATTCAGGTGTTTGTTTTATCTTCTTCGGGCTTGAAAAATGTACTTCAAAATCCAAGATGTTTTCAACTCTCTCAGACGAAAACAATGCACAAAAAAAATTCATTTAAAGTATATTTATCTTGGTTCAACCATGCCTATAGTTTGATGTTACATGTTCAGAATAGGGCATTTGATGTCAAATGAGTTTCTAATAATAAACACATAAAGCTGAGATTTTATTTAAATAGATAAAAATTGAAAGACTGAGATTCTTAAGTTTGCCAAGATATTGATTTTACTATATATATATAACTTATTCTGATAAAAAAAATTCTGATATAAAGTTATACAAAAAAAAAGCAATAATATACAAAGATACAAGTCATGTGTAAATATGTACATGTGTGTGGTAACAATATATAGTAAAACAGGAAAATATGACCTTTAGCATGTTTAGTGTAAAGATCGTGAACATGTAATTGTTGTCTTCTTGACTGAATGTTTTTAGAGAGAATTCATTTTTCTATTTATTATTCTTATTAATTGTTTTAGTTCTTACAGTTTTGACAAGTTTTATTTTAATATTCGATGGAGAATATAACCATGATAACAGTTGACAAAACATTTTTTTTGGTTACATATAAGTGACATTTTTTTCTTATTTAAATGTTTGTAACATTGTTAAGAATCATTAATCAGGTACGATATCCTCTACTAAAGGGCTTCTAAAAGTCTACTAATAAAACACACTAGAGATTTTTCATCTAACATCTTACTATTTCAAAGAAGGAGTCTTAAAGAAACTTACAGACAAATGGTTATATTCCTCCTGCTAATCATAGCTGTTGTATTTGAGCAGACTCAAATACACGGTTGGAAACAATTAGATATAAATAGGGGAACGGGTTTGCTGTAGATTTCAAAGACTCATTTACAATTTGGTAATCTAAAGTTGCCTTTTTTTAAAGAATCTTAATACAACCTAGTATTTCATTCTTTGTTATGGCATACTAAAGGTTAAATGTTGTATTTGGTACTTGTACTTCCGAGTGACGCCTTTCAGCGTCACGAGCCATGTCGCCTTTATTTGCATTCAACTCTTTAAAAAAATGTTATTTATTCTTTACTATGCTAGCTTATGTGGAAGAGCAGTGACATACTTTGCAACGAATACCGGATGTGAAATAAATTAAACGACTAGTTGATTCATTGGTTTTTTGCTGTACGCCGCATCAGCAGCGGCCACCAACTAAAATGAAATGTATACATATACAAAATATCTGAATGCATATATATCATGTCTATGCATGGATTCATGTCGTTGTTGAAATATCATAATCATCTTCTGTTTTTTGTCCAAAGAAATGATCGTAGGTGTCTTCCCTCCCTTCGTCATTTCTTTTGTGACTTCCAGAGTCATAAATAGTATCAACAGCATGGTTGTAAATGTTATCTTCTAATTCTTTGTGACGATTATTTTCCGAATGGTCGTAGACTCCGTCCTCAGATAGAGCATATTGATCCGCATCGCCTATTTTGTTCCCCGTATCATTAACCGGTTTTACAAACTCATAACCTGAAGGAGTGTTAGAACATCGTGTCCGTTTGAAACCTGTCTCGGTTGGATCTAATACTATATAACTGTCTGCTGTTCCAGTATCGTCGTCTATATTCCCATTAATACTTTTTTCAGCTGTCTGATCCACGATCGAATGTTTATTGTCATTTTGCCATTGATTGTCTGATAATGTTGTGTTCCGATGAGTTGCAAATGCATGCGCCTGTACCCTTTCTTTATTTACATTGATGATTTTAGCATGAGCATGTGTACTGTCAACACCACTACTGTTGGCATCATTTTGCACATGTCTGGCATGATTGGCGGTTAGTGGTAAAGCTATGTCTTGAACTCCAATATAGTCATTTGTTCCGAGATTGTTTCTAATTTTTTCTCTTGGTCTGCTCTTGAATGTTTTCCTTAAATATACATTACGTATGGACTTATTTTTGTGTTCAAAATAAATAAATTATGTAAAAATAAGTCCTGTCTGTATAAATTATCAATATAAAAAACATGCGTAAAAAGTAAATTGCTTATATTAGTTCTAATAGCTTAGAAGGTCATTGCTTGCAAACATTAGTTCCACAAGAAAACATCACGCATATAAATTTAATTTCTTTATTACTTAGAATCAAATATTAATTTTAAAAGGATTTGTGCAATATCAAGAATATCATCGTGAACAATTCAAGAAAGGACATTTAGCATCCTTAAAGTACGAACTTTATATAAACGTACCTTCCAACAAGAACAACAATCACAATTACAACGCATGCTAGTAATAAACCACCAATAACCAAGCCGACAACTAAACCTGCAAAATGTTCAAAATATCATATCAAATGGTACCTTTAAGAACAGCATGAAGATATTTGTTTTTTTTTTAATTCAAATCCTTTGTTCTCTTACATGTTTTCTTTTCACAATCTTTAACAAAGAACAATGCTTATTTTGCGTAACTGATATCACTGACGGGTTTTGAAATGTTTAATCGTCCCATTTGTAGTGTATAGTGGAAATTAATAAAAATTGTTTTTCAACTCTTTAAAGTTTCACCTCAAAATTATTTAGTCCAGGACATTTTCATACAATTGAGAGGTTTAGCTAGCTATAAAACCAGGTTTAATCCACCATTTTCTAAACAAGAAAATGCCTGTACCAAGTCAGGAATATGACAGTTGTTATCCATTCGTTTGATGTGTTTGAGCTTTTGATTTTTGCCATTTGCTTAGGGACTTTCCGTTTAGAATTTTCCTCGGAGTTCGGTATTTTGTTATTTTACTTTTTGATATCTTGTGTTGTTGTTACAGTAATTTTATCAAAACTTTAATTTTGATTCTTATAAACGAATTATGATACATGTATGTTATGTCAATTATTAAACATACATATGATAAAGGACATGACTGGTTGAATACTTATGAAAGTCTCATTTTCAAATATTGGAGATTTACCACACTTGTTTTTTTTTGTATCTGTACGTCAATAGTATTTTTTGTTTGTATAATTTTGTGTAATTATTAGTAAGAGAGCAATACAAAGACTTTTTACTTTATTTTGTCACTCAAATAGGTTTTAAAACATTTATAATGAACATTAATGCGCCAAGATAAAACCAACAAACAATTACTTCTTGTACAAAACAGATTAGAACAGTGGTCCAAACCCAATTCGCGTAAAAATCTACCCTATGAGAACATAAGTTTAAGGACATAAAAAGTGTAAAAACTACCCATTTTTTATACTTATTTATTGTTTCTTTTTTATTCTTAGTGTGTTCATTATATTTGGTGGATACTTTACGATAGTAAGACTATGCGTAGGTATGCGTTGTATTTCTTTCTACCGTAGGTTTGTATCTTCAAGTAGACTTTCAATATAGAAAAATAAAAGTTGTACGAGGTCTTTAAACAAAATGTCAATAACAAATGGCAAGCCAGCAATCGTGGACATTTTACGATTAACCAACACCAATTCACTAAAAGAAAATCACCCCCCCCCCCCCCCCATCCCCAAAACAAACGAAAAAAAGTTTACTCAGGTTCAGCGGAGAGATAACATATCCTGTTTCACTATTGAAATTTATGATCTTAATTCTGTGAATGGGTAATTATTTCTTGCCAGCCTATCAGACATTATCAAATGATGTAACAACAATTGACACAGGTAGCATCGAATGCATCTACATGACAGAATTTGATAATGAAAACACAAGTTACCAGGACAACAAAAAGACAAGTCATTCACCGAGTGATACAATTAAGTATATTGAAAGAGAAAATATCTGAAAAAATACAACACAGAATACTAGAGCAAAATCATAAAATTAAAACTGGGTTTAAAAATAAATAAAATAAAAATAAGGACATGTGGTATTATTATCAAAGAGATAACTACATTAACAGGATTAACCGATACCATAGTACTACAATAGGTAAGCCTAACACCTTGAGCAATAATATTTTATATAGTAAGCTATAAGAGGAAACATGTTTGACAAAATGTGAAAAAAATCAAAAGAGAAAACTGTGGTTATATTACTACCAAGAGCAATATGAAAGTGGATATGTGCATAAGCATTTATACTAGTTTATGAAGTATGCGTACATTCACGTGGTCACTTTCTCTAAATGTTTATATTTAATCAAGGCGATCACCATCGGCAAGTACCATATATGAACCGTATGTGTTCTTTGATAATATAACCATTGGTTAACTGCTTACCATAAATAGACTTCATTGTATATGTGTTTCCAATAAGCTATAATGTAATGAAGTCTTTCGCTGTTCTCCGCATTATTAGCAGACTGGTCGTCAGTATGTTTCATTCAAAACCTTTTTTTAATGCACATGTATCATATGCAGAATGTGCGTAACAAGGTCCATCTTTAGTTGTATTTAAACTAGTGTAGCAGTTATTAATGTTTACTTAAAAGATATTTTAGACCACTATAGACCACGCTATAAATGAAGCTTTTCGATGGTCGCAATAGCTGGACGTTTAAACATGACATGTCGTATGGAACTTTACTATGCGACTAAGCTTTCACTTGAGCCTTATCGGATTTTATAACGGACAAGGAGACAATTACATGAAGAGCTGGTACTCCAGACAATTCCTTAAATTTTACAATGACTCCAATGTACAACTGTTTCCGAATAGAATAAACAATTGCTCGACCTTCCCGACAACATAACAGACATATCTAGTCTCAGTAGCTTTTGCTCTTTGTAAGATCAAACTTTTAAAAAAATCCAATACACGATGAAAGATTAAAGAAGCCTTGTGAAGGATAAGATCATTTGACCTTCGACCGACTAATCTAAACAAATCTTAAAACAAATGAAAATTACGAATAAAACTGAAGTGAAGTGATACCTTTGAAATGTGCTTTCGGAGGCGGTCGTAACTTCACTGACCGTTTTGCAATGTTTGTATTATAACGTACTGTTTATTTATTATTTTTATATCGTAGCCATTAACCAGTCGTTGCCTTCTGTTTCGATATTAATAAGTAAGTATGATTTACAAAAACATATCACTGGAATCTAACATTAGTAACTCGACAGGTACCACCGATAAAACTGTTACTGTTCCTGTTTACGATTATATAGTACCAAACCTTATCTATTTCATGACTACAATTTGTAATAGGAACTATTATTTTCAGCCTTTAGTTTTTTGTGCTGTATTTTTGACATTCCGCACTTGTCTGTCTTTAATTCATAGAATAAAGTCTTCTCCCTGATTGACTTTTCCAAACTTTGTTGCATTGGTATTTTAGTGGTTTATTCTTGACTTACATATATAGATTGACATTGCGGGTAAGTTGAGAACAAAACTGGACGACACAAAAGGGGATTTAGAGTATCAAATTGTGAACATTCCATTTGTACGTAGCAACATAATAGCAGCGCTTGCATATGGAAGTATATCTCTCCCAGTTGATACGAAGTACCAAGGCTTATGTTTCCTATCAGGATATCATTGATAGAGTTTCTGCTTATAAGAAATTTATTGAACAAAGGATTCTTAGTGATAAGTTAAAAATTGTGAGGACGCCATTAAGAGTTGATTGACCATTATGTAATATTTGTACCACTTATATGTTCCAATAGTCGTAAGCACAACCTCGTTTTTTTGTGCTCGACTGTGACAACACGTTTGAAACCGAATTTGAACTTACAATGAACAACATTATTGAAGTAGGATCTGTCTACCCTTCTGGAGCAACTGAGATCACTCCAAGTTTTTTTTATTTTTGTATCTCAGTCTTTAATATTCTATGTAATGTTTTGAGTAATTGCTAGTCTTTTCGCAGTTGTTTTTTTTTTGCCACGGTGTTGCCAGTTTCCCTCCGATTTATGGGTTTTGAATGTCCCCTCGTCCTCTTTGTATCTTCCAGCTCTTTTTATTTCAGATAATCTGATGTTCACAAGTAAGACATAATGAACGAAACCAATCTCTACCTGTTGCTGATTTACTTGTAACACTGATATTACTTGTACATGTAACATTGGTATCACTTGTATCACTGGTATCACTGGTATCACTTGTAACACTGGTACCACTTGTAACACGGGTACCACTTGTAACACTGGTATCACTTCTAACACTGGTATCTCTTACTGTAAAGAAATGAATATATATATACTAGTATATCGGCTATAACAATATTTTATCATTGTCTCGGTTATTACATTTGAGTGTAACAAAATTCCGCCTCAAAAGAGAAATTGCTATAGAGTATAAGCTTCCATGTACAAATATTTGAAATATCAAAAAACCTCTCACGTTTGATAAATAATGGTGAAGCATGAAAGAGGGCAACCGGTTTCATACTTTCATATATAACTACGATATAGCACAATGCATGTGTGGACTTAAACCCGATATTAGGATTTTGCAAGGATAAAACATGTAAAAATAAGAAGATGTGGTATGATTGCCAACGAGACTACCATCCACCAGAGACCTAATGACGTAGAAGTTAACAACTATAAGTAACTGTACGGCCTTCAACAATGAACAAAACCCATACCACGTAATAAACTATAAAAGGCCCAGAAATGACAAATGTAAAACAATTTGAACTAGTAAACAAACGGCCTGATTAATGTACAAAACAATAAACGAAAAACAAATATGATAAACAGCAACAAATGATTACCATTGATTACAGGCTCCTCACTAGGCTAGGGACGGACACATACGGATCTAGAAGGTGGCGGGGTTCAATATATATTTTTTGGCGTCAAACCACCCCCCTTATCTGGGACAGTGGTGTAACAGAACAAAATAAAAACAAACTATAACAAAAAAAAAAAACAGCTTAGAAAATCACAGACCGGACATGGTAGGGAATTAATACATTCCAACAACAAATGGAGACACAAAGTACAGATCTGAGAATATATTCAAAGAGCTTATTACAGTGTTGAATTGGTAACCTTTTAGACTAAGTTTATTTAAAGGTTCGATTAGTTTTTTTACTGATGAACTATATTATTCAATACATAGAACACCATTGCAATTTGGAACATAATGAAGATATAAGCCAAGACATGAAACAGACTAAACTGTATCGGTGGCATCCTTCTTTTATTCGGATAGTCGCGTTCAACATTGTATATGTTCTTTGAATTAATTAACGACAGGACATCATCTTTTATATAACATCTACAACACATAAAGTAAAATGGTAAATGCCAGATTCTTCTCATTATTTTTGAAGGTTGAGCTTTAAATGTACTTTTTTTAAATGGTAAAGAATAGTTAAGCAAGAATTTTAAGGTTTTTTTTTTTAATCTAAACAAAATACAGATTTTCATACAAGAAGTTAAAATCAACTGTCTACATGTATCGCCGTCTCTACTGGTTAGTTTTGAAGTACATTGTATATGTATATAGTTGTAGAAAAAGACATTGTCCGTGCAAAAGAGGTCTAGGTCAAATGAACCCTACCAGACGGATATGTTCATCTTAAAATTGTTTAAAACACCAAATATGTAGTTAACCATTTTGAATTTCTGGGTGCTCAATGCTCTTCAACTTCATATGCTATTTGGCCTTTTTAACAATTTTGGTTCGATCGTCACTGATGAGTTTTTTACACACGGAACTCGTGTCTGGCGTACAAAATCTTTAGCCTGATATCTATGTTTAGTGTATTTACAACCACTGGGTCTGCTGATGGATATTTCCTCTTCGAGAGTTTCACCAGCCAAGTAGTCAGCACTTCTGTGTTGACACGTATTATCATTGATACGGTCATAATTATACATGAACTGTTTACAAAACTTTAGAATGTTTGAAAATACTAAGGATGTTCTACCCCAGGAAAAGATTAACTTACCTGTATTTGGCAAAACCTTTCAGTATTTGGACCATCCATGCACTTCGACTTCGTACTTTATTTAGCCTTTTGAACTTTTTAGGTTCGAGAGTCACTGATGAGACAAAACGAGCGTCTGGTGTAAAAAAAAATGTAAGCCTGGTATCTATGATGAGTTTATTTGCATGTTGGTACTGAGAATGGCACTAAATCGCGTAAACTTGAAGTTGACCAATAAACAATGAAAAAGGGGTCAATGTCGGATGAACTCTGGAATTTGCACATACACACTTTTTTATCATTTCATGCATCGAATATAATTAACCTTTCTTTGAGTATAGGTTTGAGAAACGGATTCAACCATTAAAGCTTGAAGTTGACACAAGAACCATGAAAATGAGATCAAGGTTATAAGAACCCTACCAGACAGATATGTATTGACTGATTGATCATTGGTTGCTTAACGTCCAGTGGCAATTATTTCATGCATGTTCAGGACTAGAATATATTAACAATAAATACATGGGTGCCCAGGTGGTATGTTGCATTGAAAAAATGCCTTTCTCCTATATATTTGTTAACACTTTCCAATGTCAGTAAACAATATTGCCTTCATCCAGGTCGACCAACTTTGCAGAACTTTCATATTCACGAAGTTTTAATTTGTTTTCATCCTGGAAATGAATTAAATGTTTGCACTGGACGTTATAAGCAATCGGTTATTTTGAGAGGTTTAAAAAAGTTGGAAAACCGAGATAAGGGCAGGAAATTCTTATACTTATACATCTCGCACAACAAAACAGCACGGGTTTTAATGTCAGACGCCAAGTGTCACGGTTGACCATCTTGTAATACAATGTACCACTCATATCGGTAGTCTTATCGTTCAAACTATGACAAACACTGTAATATATATAGGTGAAAAGATCTTGAAGAGTTCAGCAAACTTTCAAAGTTTATTTCCTGATCATCAGCTTTGTTTGAAATTTAAAAAAAATGGAAAAGAGAGATGACATATTGTGTTTGCTGTCATTTCAAACCCTATGAAAAAACTAGGCTTTCGTGTACGTATTAGTAAGCTATTTAGAATTTTCATTTGGTTACCATCTTTTCGCCAATACTTTTTATTATAAATACGTGATAGCATTAAAAATTGTTGTGAGATCCAACACATATACACCGTGCTTTTTCCAATTAAATGCAAATACTTCTCAAATTATGTAGGAAGCTTGTGAAGTCTGCAAATTTCCCAATTCCAGGTATTTTTCTCGTTTACACACTAATTACAGACATAACAAAATCCAATCTTGAAATCAGAGAAATGTCAAAAACGATTATAACAAATCTGCGTAGGAATTGTAAGAATGTTTTTCTTACTGCATGTACTGGGTTTGTGTATGATTTAAAAGATTTTTAAAGGGGACAGCTCACATTGCATATCTTAAATGTTGGCTCAATCTTTTGTTAATTGTATTATGTGAAACATTTACACTATAATATGAAATTTTTTAAACTAAAATGATTTATTTTATGGTTGGGTTGCTGTTTCCTTGAAGTAACCTCAACATAGCTTTCAGTGTATAATCTATTAAAGGTCCTATATAACACAAAGAATGGTTGTTTAAATCATGACTGGTAATTTCATAAATACTGAAATTCAGAAAAAAATTATCTAGCGTCCACATTTTTTTGTGCAACAACCAGCAACCCAATCACACTAACTGTAATACGATGGCACTCAGCTTTATTCATAAACATCTATTCAAACTGTCTTCATATCAACGCTTGCGCTAGTTATTTCTTGTTGTATCAAAAGAGAAGTAATTGTCATACCTTTCTTGCAGACGGTGTTGCTAATAAAAATATCGTCAACAGCAATTTCACTTTTTTTCCCATTACCACGAGTTGCTCTAAACATAATTCGATATGGGCCGATATTTTTCAATGCCAGTGAATGAAAATGCCATTTATTCCCTTGACTTTGTGATTTGTTCCACAGTTCAATGTTGTGTTCATCTTTCATTTCAAATACTTGTAAGGTGTTGATATGTTTACCATACATGTGATACCAAAATGTCAAACACTGGTATGGACTCGGTTTAATCAAACCAGACTGTAGATCACTTACATAGTTTTCTTTCGACGAACCCTGAGATATCGTGTAAAAATAGGAACCATTTTCTAAAATATATTGGTTTGCTTATAAAGCGATGAAGGTACCAAGGCGCCATATATAAATGTAAAATGTAAAAATATTATAAGAGAGTTCAAAATATGCAAAGGGCGGTCACGAAATAAATGTTACATATGACAAGTGTATTCCGTCTGAATATCTAGGATTACACAAACAAATAATGTGTCATACTAAACAACCAAACGTTTGCTCGGTCTTCTTCATTTTACTTTCCTGAATGCCCATTGAGTTTTTAGTTTTTCGTAATGACGGTGGTGCGAATATATATTTTTTCTACATACACATTCTAAATCATACTGCATAGATAATTGTATTGGACGAAAGAAACATATCTACCTATTGCAACCACAATGCATTAGTCTTTCTTTATATTTGAAATCATGTCGTAACATAAGTTAGTTCAGATGGTTTTTGTGATGATGTTGCTTAGATTTGTTTGCAGAAATGAAATATCAAATTGGAAATGCCTAGCGGAAGGAGAATAAAATATACCAGCACGATCAGAATCCGGATTGGATTTATTTATTTAACTAACATATTTGGTATTCGAGACCAGTTTGGTGAATTATTTGGCATAAGATTACGTCGGATACATAAAGCCTTGATTGTCTAAATTGATTCGTTTACCGTTTTGTATTCCCTTTGTTGAATTTTCATTTTATACACGATTCGTTTTATTTACATTATTTTCCTATGTATACAGTTTTATAACATATCACATGATATTCGAAATGAGACATACATAGGTTTTTCCTCGGTACTGACCGATATATACACATAAGATCTTTTCTGAATGTTTGCTGGTTTAAACCCGCTGCATTTGTTTGCACCTGTCCTAAGTCAGATTCACTCATACCACATCTTCTTATATCTACTGATGCATAAGGTTTTAATTTTTTTTTATTATAATTTCCATTCAAAGTCTGGCATTATTCGTGAATCTCAGATTGGATTGCCCTCGTCGTTGCTCTGCGGGCCTGTTTACTGTAAGGTCTGATGTTGTGTCATTTAAATAATAGTAATATAAATGAAACCCAAAAATAGTATCCGAAAATGAAAAAACTAAAAAAATTAAATACTTATTAAACAAAACAAAAAACTCCCTTCCCCCTTTAAAAATCACACACACATTATTAAAGCTGACGTATGTCATAACGCTGAAAGCACTCCTTACTTTATAGTAAGGTAACATCTGTATATTCATAGCTTCATGATTTTCTAGTTAAAATGTATAAACCATTAATATTCACAGGCTTTGATGTGTCTATGCATGTGTACGTCTTCGGTCAATATAAATCGCAGCGTGTTCACTACCACTGCGGGATATATAAGTAAAGTTGGTCAACCAAAGACTGGAAAATCCTAAATTTTTCTTCTCTGCTGTTTGTTTGTTTTTATTTGTTTTTCATTTATCTATGTTTGCATTTCAACTTTACCAGATGCAGTTGTGTGATCTCTTTCCGGTCCTGTATCAGATTCAGGAGTCTTCCCACTTTGACGTTTCCACTTGTATTTACCATTATCACTTACTAACCAACCACACCCACCATTATCGAAAGTACAACTACTGTTTACAATTCCTGTTAAAGATATAATTTTCCAAATTAACAAAAATAAAATTATTAGCTCCATATTTATGTTATATACTTCTAGTTTTAATACAAGTAGATTGAATGTGTAATACAATCAATGGCAATCGTGCTGTATCAGTCATCCATGATGATATCGAAATCGTTCACGGTTTCAAAGCCTTCATCAAATTCCAAATATGTATAACGTCATGTCATCAATATCAATCACGGTTGAAAAGATTTTATCAAATCCTTTATATGTATGACGTCATGTCATTTATATTAGACACGGTTGCAAAAGCTTTATCAAACCAATAATCTGTATAACGTCATATCACGTGAAAAACAACTACTTCAGGTACATAATAAAGTCTATATGTTACAGTGAATTTGTAAAATCCCTAAAATGACTAGTGATTTTGAATAGGGATTTTACCGAATCCCTAAAAAAATTTCGATTTTTTTTACAGATTCTCTAACTTTATTCAGGGAATTTGTAAAATAATCAATCTTTTTGTTTAAATAATTAATTGAAATTATACAAAAGCTTACAGCAATAACAATCAACATGTTTGGATCAGTTTTTTTCCAGTTTGATTATTACAAGGTGAGCCATATTGAAACAGGAAAAATATGAGGAAGTTGTGGAACGTTTTTGCTAAAGACCTATAAAAAGACAAAACTAGCTCAAATTACTTCCTTGTTCGAAAAGGGGTAAATTTTTAGTGCTCAGTATGTAACTTTTGGGAAGTATAAAAGAAACTATATTTAAGGTGGTACCCAACACCTTGACTAATATTAATTTGGCTCGTTTAATTTTCATAAAATTTTGACAAAATGTTTACTTTGACCCTTTGACAAAAATATAAAAATTTCAAAAAATTAGAACCAACCACTTTATCAGAAAAATTTCATTGGTTATATAGCAGTTTGACAAACACTAATTTTGATCATTGAGAAGCTTAATATTTCTTTACAATACAACGTAATTAAAACGTTTAGCTGATTTTTACAGAGTTATCTCCCTGTAGTGTTAGGTACCACCTTAAACAAATTATTCACCTATGCATGATTATGAAATGGATACGTGCCTATAGTCATTGAATAGGCATGGATTTAGTAAATAGTGGGAAAAGTGTATGAGGTTTTGTTATTACAACGTCTGTTAATGGCATCCGTCTGTATTTCTGTCAGATTACACTGCTTATATTCTGAATATGATGTTGCTCATTGCTCTACAGTTCAATAAACTATTGTGATTGTCTTGCTCCCTGCAAAACTGATTATACTTGAGTCGCTCATGAAGGTATTTTCTTGAAAACCGGCTTTGGAAAGATTGATATATCGATTTTTAATATATTTAATTCGGTTTTTTTTCAGTCGTAACGAATTAGTTAGTTTTACAGCGCTTATCCGCGTTTGATTTTTAATATATTTATTACATGTTGTAAATGTTAATATCGTCAATTCGTGCGCATTTATAAAAAAAGTATTTGTATTATTGTGTTTAAATGATTTATATTAAAATAAGGACATGTGGTATGATGCCAATTGATGAGGCAACTATCCACCAGAGATCAAACTACATGAATAGTTGATAATAGTTTTGTAATTAACAAAACGGACGATTTTTTCTCTCTGTATAATATAAAAATAAGAAGATGAGGTATGATTTCAAATGAGACAACTCTTCACCAGAGACCAAATGTCGTAGACATTAACAATTATAGGTCCCCGTAGAACATTCAACAATGAGCAAAACCCATACCGCACAGTAACTCTATGAATGGCCATGAACAACCTCGTTCGTAACCATATTGCACTAGAAAAACTAGCTAAATGTATAAATGGAGACATATTATCATGTTAGCAAATTGCTATGATATAATCTCAATTAAGAAATCATAGTACGCATGTTATATGAGCAACATTTTCTATTCCTGGTACTTGCAAAGTTATTGAAAATAAATCTAGTAACAATAAATAAACAATGACTTTCTGCATTTTATCCTCGTTTCTTCAACCTAAAGATAAAATGAGGAAGATAAATGTATACTGAAGTGGATACAAATACTTTAATTAAATGTATTATAATATCAAGGCACACTAATTTGTCAATACAATTTATTGATGTACATGTATAAAATAGGCTATTTTAGACTTTAAAAAACTGCAGTCAGAAACATATCCTAAGTTTAAATGATAACTGAACTTTAGTAAATTTCTGTTTTTTCGAATAAGTTTGACATAATTTTTCTTATCAAACATCTACAATCAAAGGTCAAAAGTGTTTCATCATTTGGAAACTCTGCTACATATTTCATATAAAAACGCATTTAAAAAAAATCTACTCTGACTAGTTATTTTTTGTCCGAATTGAATGAAATGTTTTCCAGTAAATACAAAAATGTCTGCAGTTGCTTTTAATAATTAGGTCTTTCCACTTTTCTGTGGAAAGACCTATTGTATTTGTTCTGATTATTATTAGGTCTTTCCACTTTTCTGTGAAAAGACCTATTGTATTTGTTCTGATTATTATTTTTTTTTTCTTCCGCCAAATTTTTAAATTTTTGTTTCGCAATATGTCGCTTAGATATTTCGTACATTGTATCGTACAGTTTATGCGCTTTTAAATTTCACCCTGCTAAGCCGAACAAGTTTCTTTGTAAGAGTTATCTCCCTATTCACTGTTTATCATGTGATTGCATCTCCTTCGTAACAAAGAAAGATATCGACAAAATTCATTTTACAAATTGCTCGTTACATCTTCAGGAATTTTTGGCTAATTTGGATCGAAGCGATCCAGTGAGATCTTATAGGAGTTATCTGCCTTTACCAAATAAATTTGTCGTTATGTTTTTGTAACACATGAATCGTAAGCCTTATAAAAAATTTGACCAAAATGTTAGTCGCGACATGATATAACTGGAAAATTTTTATCGAAATTGTACGCATCATTGTTTTAGGGGTTCCATGCCACTGAAACGGTAAAATGAACAAAATGAACTTATTATAGCCCCAAACTTTGCAACTATCATGTTTTCTTTTTTTCTTTCTATTTGGAGGAATCCCATTTCGCCTTGAAGTTAAGTCCTGTACATTTTACTGTAAAAATGCAATCCTTCTTATAAACAAACTTCTTAAATAGAAATTCATCCCTGCAAAAATCTGCTCCAATTCATGTGTTTTCTGAAATAAATCGATGAACGATTTGTTAAATTACTAAAATAACAGCATTATGTTTGTGTGAATGTATTGAACGACAATAGGTAACCTGTAAAATATAAAATGAATCAAGAAAAAAAGTTCCCGATAGGCGCGGTCCGCTTGATTGAGAAATAAAATTCAATGACGTAGAAATTGCTCCCAAATTCGTAAATATTGCTGAATTCCTACAATCAAATTTCTAAACATGCATTAAAATACAAATCTGTGCTCCCGTAAAGATGTGTACGTAAGATGCATGCATGATCCGTCATCAATGACCTGTAAATAATAAAACCAATAGTGATCGTGTTTCTTCGATCAATACACATGTGCCCTGTAACGGTCTCCCCTGAAAAGAAATTAATATTCAGACTATATATATATATATATATATTTGAGCGTCACGTGACTTCAAAACACCCTCGCGCGCGCGGCCCTAAAATTAGAATAAAACATTCCATATCCAAATATAGAAAGTGAAACTTCCAAGACAAAATGTTACTCTGTTTTTTCCTACAAGGTCAAACAAAATGCACTCACAACACATAAAAGAAACCATGAAGTACGAGTCCGTTTGGGAGTGCAGGATGTATAAGTACGCAGCCACGTCGTCGGTCAGAATATTGACTTTAAGTCTTAGGCCTCGCTAAGAGAGAGAGTGTAATGCTAAATTTCAATCAATCAATCAATCAATCAATCAATCAATCAATTATTCAATCAATCAATCAACCAACCAACCAACCAACTAATCAATAAATCTGTTTAATACGGGGTCTAAGATCGCATTTGTTTCTTTTTCGCTTGTTCCAAGAGACCCTATCCCATGTGTTTAATTAATATGTCAGTCAACCAACCAACCAACCAACCAATCAACCAACCAACCAATCAATCAATCAAAAAAGTCAATTAATCATGTTTCGGAGGGGAAAGATTTATATTTATTAGGTCTTTCCACTTTTCTGTGGAAAAGACCTATTGTATTTGTTCTGATGATTATTTTTTTCTTCTTCCGCCACTTTTTTTCTTGCGGGGTATTGTGGTTTTACAAGATGACGCTTAGATTTTTTGCATATTATATCGAACAGCTTTTGCGCTTTTGAAATTGACCCTGCTTAACCGAATACTTTTCTTTATAGGAGTTATCTCCCCTAACACTGTTTTCCTTGTGAGTGCATCTCCTTCGTAACTGTAAAAGAAAGCGACAAATTTATTTTACCAAATTGCTCGTTATATCCTCAGGATGATTTGTCCAATTTTGACGGAAGCGATACGAAAACTCCATATGAGAGTTATTTCCCCTTCTGTATTTGACATAAGGGATATATAAATATATATCATGGTTGTTAAGTGATAGAGACCTAAGGCATATTGATTTGAGGTTTTTGGTTCATTTAAATGAAATTGAGGCCAAGGTCAAAGGTCAAGGTCATATTCTAAATTTTGACTTTTCCTTGTTATTTGATCTTCTCTATCACTTTTAAAGATATATGTTAAAGAACTAGTGCAATATGTTTGCCTAATTGTGATTAAGATATGATACATTTGGTCTGAAACAATCCAATGACATCTTATCGGAGTTATTGTCCCTGAAATGATTAAATTTAAGGTTAATTGATTATTACTCCAACTTGGTACATGATAAAGCCATATGGTCTTTTGCAAACTGTTGGTTGACAAATGACCTTGAAAAATATCAACCGGAAGTGACCTTGAGTAAACCGGAAGTAGCCATTTTTGCACTTATTTCATGGAAAAGTACCTAGAAACTATATATTTTTTAAATATGCATACATCAACCTATCATTTGAGACCGGAAGTGACCTTAACTAAACGGGAAGTACCTAATATCTCCCTTATTACAGGCAAAAGTATATAGAAACCATATATTTTAGGAATCAGTGTAAATAAAGCCGTTATGTGAGACCGGAAGCGACATTTTTTAAACCGGAAGTTGACAATTATCTCCCTTATTTCAGGCAAAAATATAAAGTAACATTTGTTTATTTAATCAGTATGAAGAAACCTATGCTTGGACGCCAATAGTAACTTTGAGTAAACAGGAAGTAACTTCTCATCAATAAATTAGAAAATTGATGTGGAAAGACCTTCAATTGTTCTCTGAACAATTGGTTTTTAATTATTATTTTTTTTATTTTTTTTTTTTATTCTTCCGCCAAACCCTTTTCTTGCGGTATAAAGTTGTTTCGCAAGATGTCGCTTAGATATTTTGGATATTATATCGAACAGTAATTGCGCTTTTAAAACTTATCTCGTTAAGGCGAATACTTTTTTATTGTAAGAGTTATCTCCCCAAACACTGTTTTTCTTGTGAGTGTATCTCCTCCGTAACCAAAAAAGATAACGACAAAATTCTTTTTCATATTTGTTCGTTACATCATCAGAAATTTTTAGCTGATTTGGATCGAAGCGATCCGGTGAAATTTTATAGGAGTTATTTACCTTTATCAAATAAATTTGCCGTTATGATTTTGTAACTCATAAACCGTAAGCCGTATAAACCTATAGTCTTTTTATTTGAGGTCCTTGGGTCCTAACTTAAAAAATGATGTCAAAGTCACAGGTCAAGTTCAGGTTCTTAAATTTTGTCTTTTGCTTATTTTTGCATTTTCTCTGATATTTTTAACGGTATATATAAAAGAACTAGTGCAAAATGTTTGCTATATTGTGATGAAGATATGATACATTTGGTCTCAAACAATCCAGTGACATCTCATAGGAGTTATTGCCCCTGAAATGTTTTATTTTAAGGTAAATTGATTATTACTTCAGATTTGTACATGATAAAGCAAGTAGGTCTTTTACAAAATGTTAAGTGACATGTGACCTTGAAAAATATCAACCGGAAGTGGCCTTGTGTGAACCGGAAGTAGTCATTTTTGCACTTATTTAATGGAAAAATACCTAGAAACCATATATTTTTCAAATGGGCATACATAAACCTATCATTTGAGACCGGAAGGGACATTTCTAAAACCGGAAGTAGCAAATTATTTCCTTATTACAGGCATAAGTATATACAAACTATATATTTTTGGAATCAGTCAGAATAAAGCTATCATTTGAGACCGGAATTGACATATTCTAAACCGGAAGTAGCCATTTATCTCCCTTATACAGGCAAAAGTATATATAAACCATTTATTTTTGGAATCAGTGTAAATACAGCTATCATATGAGACCAAAAATGACATTTTCTAAACCGGAAGTTGGCAATTATCTCCCTTATTTCAGGCAAAAGTTTATAGAAACCACAAATTTATTGAATCAGTATGAAGAAACCTATGATTGGACGCCAAAAGTAGCTTCGAGTAAACCAGAAGTAGCTTCTTATCAATTATTTAGAAAATTGATGTGAAAAGAGAACAATTGGTTTTTAATTATTATTTTTTCTTCTTCTTCCGCCAAACCCTTTTTCTTGCGGTATAAATTTGTTTCGCAAGATGTCGCTTAGATATTTTGGATATTATATCGAACAGTTATTGAGCTTTTGCAACTCACCTTTTTTTAGCAGAAGACTTTTCATTGTTAGAGTTATCTCCCCAAACACTTTTTTTTTGTGAGTGTTTCTCCTCCATAACCAAAAAAAGATAACAACAAAATTCTTTTTCATATTTGTTCATTACATCCTCAGGAATTTTTGGCTGATTTGGATCGAAACGATCTGGTGAAATCTTATATGAGTAATCTACCTTTATGTTTTTGTATCTCATAAACTAGTAGTAGTATAAAACTAGTCTTTTTATTTGAGGTCATTGGGTCCTAACTAAGAAAATGAGGTCAAGGTCAAAGGTCAAGGTCATGTTCTCAATTTTGACTTTTGCTTGTTTTTGCATTTTCTCTGACACTTTTAAAGTTATATATAAAAGAACCAGTGCAAAATGTTTGCTTCATAGTGGTGAAGATATGATATATTTGGCCTGAAACAATCCAATGATATCTTATAGGAGTTATTGCCCCTTAATATTTTATTTTAAGGTAAACTGATTATTACTTCAGATTGGTACATGATAAAGCCATAAGATCTTTTGCAAAATGTTGGGTGACATATGACCTTGAAAAATATTAACCGGAAGTAACCTTGAGTAAACCGGAAGAAGTCATGTTTGCATACACTTTATAGAAAAGTACCTAGAAACCATATATATTTTTAATTGGCATACATAAACCTATAATACCTATCATTTGAGACCGAAAGTGACATTTTATAAACCGAAAGTAGCAAATTATTTCCATATTACAGGCATAAGTATATACAAACTATGTATTTTTGGAAATAGTGTGAATAAAGCTATCATTTAAGACCGGAAGTGACATTTTCTAAACCGGGAGTTGGCAATTATCTCCCTTATTTCAGGCAAAAGTATATAGAAACGATATATTTATTGATCATTATGAAGAAATCTATGATTGGATGCCAAAAGTAACTTTGAGTAAACCGGAATTAGCTCCTTATCAATTATTTAGAAAATTGATGTGGAAAGACCTTCAATTGTTCTCTGAACAATTGGTTTTTAATTATGAAATATATTTATGATTTATACTTTTAAGAAAATCACTGTTTATAAACCAATGTGAATGTCTGAACGACATTTTTTTTACAGTTGCATTTAACTTTTAAGAACATAGAAATAGATGAAAATAATCCAAAAAGAACAACTAAGTCGTTTCTAATCTTTTCAAATACAGAGTTTAATTTCTATTGTTTAATTTCAACTAAATATACGACCGTCATAGTATCTTTGAGGTAAATGACGTCAATAAATATTCCATTGCTTTGAGTTTTGTAAAGTGTGTATGATGATTCTGTGTTTCGTAGTTAATTAAAAAAGCTTTTTCCTTCCTTTCCAATGAATATTTAATCAAATTTGAGCAATTAATAAGATAAATAATCTGTTCGCTTTGTTAGATATCGAACGATTCATCTGCTATGGTGCAACTAGTCAATGTTCCCTTAAGATCATACATATCTTTTAGTAATATGATTTCTATGTTAAGTATTTCAACCGTGCCAGTTTTTGCACGGAATTGCGAGTATACTATGATGATGTGTTATTTGGATATGTTTAATTATACCTGTGTTTTGTTAAGAGATATGCAGCTACATATGTACCTCTTTAGTTTAATTCAAACTATGAAAAGAACATAACAATGATAATGACTAAAATTAATTGCAGATGTTCTTATGTTTTGCTGTTACACCACCGTCGCAGGTTAGAGGAGCCTTTCAAAGGAAGGAGCCTATTAATCAGTGAATGTGATTGGTTGCTGTTTGTCATGTTTGTTTGTTATTGTTTTGTCATAAAACAAGCTGTTGGTTCTATCATTTGAATTGTTTCATATTTTGTCATATCGGGTCCTATTATAGCTAATTGTACGTTATGAAGGTCGTATGGTGACTTTTGTTACATGCATTCAAATTCGCTTCGTTTGGATTCTGGTGGGTACTTGAATCATTTGAAATTATTTCATATATCCTTATCTTATATTCAACAGGTATTGTAAGTACCAAAACTGTTACACTAGTCTTCATATAAATTTGGATTGATATATGCAATAACTAATTTTGTAAATGAACGTGAGTTTAAACTTTTTGCTATTCTTAGAAACGAAAATGAAAACGCGGGATGTGTCAAAGATACAACAACCCGACACAAGAGCAGAAAACAGCCCAAGACCACCAATGAGTCTTCATCGCAGCGAGAAAATCCCGCATCCGGAGGTTTACAAGTTCAGCAAAATGGACGCCACATTAAACTCCAAAACATACAAATGAATCAAAAGTAAAATTACACAGAAGACTAACAAAGGCTAGAGGTCCTCACTTGGGAAACTCGCAAAAATGTGTCGGATTAACCATGTTCTGTGAGATCTCAACCCTCCTCTATACCTCTAGCGAATGTAGAATAAACACACACACAGCAATATGCAAAGTAAAACTTAGTTTAAAATAAGTCCGAGTCTGATGTAAGAATAGGTAACAAAAGAAACAAAGTAAAATGACAATGATCCACTTTAAATTAACAAAGGACTACTAGCAGTCACTGACATGCCCTCTCCAGACCTCCATTACACTGACCAAAAGAGTATGTCTTCATCATATGAAAATCAACCACAATCCTTCCCGTTAGTATCATGTATGACATCATAAATTATACGAGAATAACACAATCTGTATCATGCCAACAACTGGTTTTAAAATAATTGTGTTTATTCCCGATGCAAAAACCCTGTGAGTGAATCGATATTATTTTTTCAAAGTGCTATCTTTACGACTTAACAACAGTATCGTAACTATATATCTTTTGTGAATAAGTCTGTTTAAAGTTGTGGTTAGATTTTGAGATGAATGGCGACATTTTTGTGCTTTGTATAGAATATTACCATTAAATGATTGGTATTGGAACAAAGCAGATCAAAAGAGCACTTACCCGATATTGCATTTACATAAATCACTAAAATGATGACTAATTCCGATGCTAATAACATCATAAAGACATTCTTGAGCGTTTTGTTATTTTTGTTTTATAATCAAGGAAGTTAACAGTCATTTAGGTCAGTTTAAATATACTTTTATTCAGGTTCATCGTGTGTTATTTAACTAGATAAACTAGTATTTCTAATTCAGATTTACTGTTGAGTAAATTCATCATTTTGAATATACTTTTTTATATTATATATGGAAGAGACTTATATTAATTTAATTTGTATTGAATTTGTAAAGGCATTTATACAAATCAAAATTAGGCAAAAATAGGACTAACCAAGTCAATCATCAGAAGTCGATGACAGATAGTAAATATGAATATCCCAAAGACTAAATAATTAGAATTATTCACCATTTTAGCAATATATATTTATGTTTAACTTAAAGAGTTATTCAACCCAAAACATTGCTGTTGGACTCCTTTTTGAAAGGATTTAGCAGATTTTTGAATTATTTTCTCTCAAAAACTTGTGACAAAAGGACATTCAGAACCATATTATAGTACATTTATGTTGTATGCATACAATATGAAAACAATACTTTATATAATAGTATGCGTCCGAAACGCTTTTCTGGATTTACCTTCATCAGAAACGCTCGAAGCCAAATATTTGAAAGCCAAGGGTGTATAAGTACCAAAACAAGCCAAGAGCACAATATCCAAAAGGACCATTTTGTATATTTGTATTGCAATGCCAGAGCATACCTGGTACAGTGGTGTTGCAGAACAACATGAGAAAAATCTGTAATATCAGTTGCAAATCGCTTAACTCAATTGATCATTACGTCTCACAAAAAGACAGCTAACATAAAAAAAATAGACGCAAAGCACTGATATAAGAGTACTCGCAGTTACTAAAGCTAAATGTTAAAAGCCACTTTGAACTAATAAATTAATCATGTTCTCTCAGACTAAAGTATCAGTCAGTACTCAACCAACGGATTTAGAGTCAAGACGGCATAAACAGTCTGTGAAACGCATGACCTGGTGCGGTGGTAAATATCAGTAAACAGTATCGACAGGATATAGGATTACTCATACATTCATAACTGTACATTTAGTTATGTTTTAGATTTTTCAGAAACAAAAGCAATGTTTGTACCGTTAAAGCAATATTGGTGCCTGGGATTCAGTAATTGTCTTTGAAGGCTTTCTGTCATAGGTGAAACTTTTTTTTTATGTTTATGTTTTTTTTTTCTCCTGTGAAAACCTGGTTTTTTTTATAATTGTAACACAATATTTCAGTAGAGTAGGATAAAGTATACTTTTGATCTCGCTTTGGGTTTTAGCGTTTGAATTTTTTTCGCCTAGTGTCAAATCGGGGCTTTATATAGCTGACTACGGTATGGGTATTGCTCATTGTTGAAGGGCCGCGTAAGGTGATGAATTGTTGCTTATGTCATTGGTCGTAATACCAAGTCTCCTTATTTCAATATACCTACAATGAGTCAGTAGCCGGATTTTATAACAGATATTATACCACCCTTGAATCTGAATCTACAAGCTATAATCTGCATAATAGCAAAATGTATACAGTTCCAATAACTCAATGTAATCTGCATCAACAATATTTTCTTCCCACTACTTCTCAGTCTCTATATTTTGATCAATTTATACATAGCTATACGAAATGTTGAATTCTATCCATTCAAGTCTTCACAACTGATTTTTTGAAGAAAAAAATCACAATGTACATATTATTTACTTTTCCAGTTTTGGATGACTTTTTTTTCAAACGATGCTTTAAACTAAAACATACTTCATTAATAGTGTTCGTCATGAAACATTTTAGATAGTTTTTACCTTTTCAGTATATATTTTAGATCTTGAATTACATTTGAAATTTTTGCCAGTTTCCTGGTTTCGGAGATTTCATGATAAAATCTTACTTTTGCATCAATATGAATAATTTCTGGACGTGAAATTTTATCTGTTTCCTTATACAATCAAGTTTGTTTAAAATAGAGTTACATTTGACATATTTTCCTGTTTACTATTTTCGGAGAACTATGATAAAATCTTACTTTCTGCCTCAAAATACTACTTTCTGGTAATGGAAATTTGTCAGTTTCCTTGTACAATCAAGTTTGTGATGTGTATAATACAGTTTTGTTGTTATTCAAGATGTCACTTCACCAATAGCATCAGTTTAAAAATCTCCCTGTTTTCTTTGATTTGTTTTATTAAAAAAACGATTATTTGAACCCAAACGTATCTATTTTCAACACTATCAACTTTGTAGACTTTTAGTATAGCAAATATAATGCCATCATGGACACAACAAGTCTGAAGTAGTTTAGATGACTGAACCTAAAGCCCCAAGACACCGATATAAAATAAAAGGTCTTTCCAGGGATAAATATGAGATCAAAATACTTAAACAGTATAAATTGCTGACACAAAGAAAAATCTTGTCTTTACATGTATGTTATTTTGGAAGTTAATGCAAATATTGAAATTCAAATGGCGATACTTTAATATATAAACTATGCGAAACATTCAAAGTCAACGAACAATGAACAGTCTAAATACTCGTCATGGAAATGAGCTATCCCAATACTAGTAAATTGTTGTACATTCCAAATATTAGTGACTTTTCATATTTCAAGTCTGGTTCTCCTTTTAAAAATTTACCTAATCTCAAATTTTAATAAGCGAACTAAATATCAAACGTCAATGAACTATAATTGAGGGACCATGTAATCGTTATGGGAATGACATGTGCTAATTCTGCTACAACTGTATACCAAATATCATTAACGTACCATTGTGGATCATCTAAAACTAATCTTATCACAAACTTAGAATGTAAACTATGCAAATGTTTAAAATTCAATTGACCATGACTGAGGGAGCAGAGACAAACAATCAAAATGGAAATCAGATGTGCCAATGCTTCTACAAATGCATACAAAATAACATTGGATTACCCATGGTGATTCCCCATAAACTGACCTAATCACAAACTTTATCAAATTGTTGACGGTGCCAGCGTCGTAAACAGCACGCATACATCTCGCCTCCACTATATTTCGTGGAGGCGAGACAAAACAAGTACTCGTTATCAGAATTTTCTATGTAAAAAAAATATTATAAGATATTATAGATTATGTAGTCTTTATTTGCACTGTTGCACATATATGTGCGGTCTTCTTGATTTATTCAAATGAAATGTTTATGTTAAAATAAGGTCCATTTTATTTTGCTTGAAAGAAATTTATATATTTTTGTTGCTTTATCATTCTGTGTTTTGTTGATACTTTTACTTGAACTTCTCTTGTTTAGTGTCAAGCATAATACGAAGATATGGTGGGGTTCGTGTTAATCAGTCTTCAGTTTTCTATGTTGTGTTTTGTGAACTGTTGTTTATTTGTCTTTTTCTTTTTTAGTCATGGCGTTGTCAGTTATTTTCGACTTTCGATGAGTGTCCCTTTGGTATCTTTCGCCTTTCTTTTATTGTCTCAGTGAAGCGGCGGAGATAATCAAAACTGTGTTTGCTGTTTGACGATCGCCGCCCTTGTCATTTAATCTGCTTTTAGGACAAATATACATTTCCGAAACCTACGGCATAATTTACTTTAGTTCTTGATTTATTCGAATGAAATGTTTATGTCCAAAAAAGGTGTGTAAATTGGGTTCATTGACTCAAAAACTTACTTTTATTTAGTTTGTGAGTTAATAGCCCTTTTCTACACATCAATAACCTTTAGAAAAAAATGTGTTTACTCCTATGATGACAAAATCGACACACAAGGTAAGGCAGCATCTTTCTAGTTAATACCTTAAGTGAAACATTCGATCCCATGCGTCTGTCAGATATTCATTTATGAAGTAAATTTCTAAGAAATTTCTGAATTCTACGTCTTGTTACATAAAGCATAATTTCTAATTTCAACCCCTCCCCCCTTTACATCCATTATCTGTTTACAGTATAAAATGGCTAACCCGTTTTATTGTATGTGTCAACTGCACATGTTTTGTCAAGTATATTTCTTAAATATTACTTTTGAAAGTGACAAGAAAAAAAAACTTTCTATAGTCTAATATTCATTTGAACTCCGGTGGATAGGTCTCATTGGTAATTATACTGCATTTCCTTATTTTTATAGGAGTAAGTCGTTTCACTCTTTCATTTCTCTTTGTTTTTAAATATTTTTTTAATTTGTCAAAATGGTGGGTGACAGTTGCTCTTTCTTGTTCCCACCGGTTCATACGCCAGTGCATTCGTGAAGGATGTGACACTTGAATGAAAAATATATAAAAATTTCATTTTTAAAGTAGTGAATTTAAATCATCAATTATACACTGCATATACGTACACTGTATCTATATACGGAAATGAAAACCGTTGGACAGGTTTTGCTGACATTTTCATTCCCTTACTTTAAGATCACAGATTTATGAACCCCTCTTATTGAATTCCGTGCCTGAAAAACCGCTGGTTGCGGATATTATTGAGGACCAATAGTTCAATCTCTTATTTCATAACTGCTTTACACTAATATCAGACCAGCAGTTGTGAATATGTGCAAGACGAACGGTGAATATTGAACCACTATTTCACGTGGTATATCCATTATCTTTCTCATTTTGGCTTTGGTGGAAAGTTATCGAACTAGCAATCATACCACATATCTAATAAATTTGTAACGGTGCAGATACCTTAAAGCTTGGTAGGAATAATTGTGTATAGAGAATTTTCATGCGAAATTATGCTTTTATCATGTTTATGAAACCCACCTCCTGGATTAAAATTGAATCCTAGCAGATCAGCCGTAAAACAACAAGTCTAATGCATTAAAGAATTAAAAACGAAAGAAGATGTGAGGTATACGTCAATAAGACAACAACCCAATGATAACAAAAACACAGAAGACATCTAGATGGACGACATCTTCAACAAGAGACTGGTGTCTAAACAATCCGCCAATTCAAGCTTTAAATCGTCCCTAAGCATTTGCATAAATTAAACAAAGTGTTCAGAATCCACTCCATATCTCCAAAACAAAAACGCATCAAGATATAAATGTAACATAAAACATCCACAGTCAAGGTTT